TAATTTTATCTCTCCCTTTTATAAACATCAACACAGTGAAAGTCTCTGGGACAGAAGTAGTGCATGCTTAGCTAGCTTCCTTGAGTGAGAAGCTTTTAATTTCATGTTGTCAATAAGGACTGGGGGTGGGGGATAGCCCTGCATGCATATGCATTGATCCATATAGATTTCTCTGGGGGCAGAAGACCTCCGAGGTATGCATAAGAGTTAACATTTGACTTGACACTTATTTGTCAAACATCGATTTGTCCTTGACTAGAAAGCCCTGCTGATGTTGCGAATAAAATTATGTCACTTGACAAGTGTGGGGTGACCCGAATCAACAAAGCAGTCTTTCGTCATTATACAGTTTCGTCCACTTGGGGCTGCTTATCCATAAAGCAGGCAAAAAAAAAAAACCCAAACTGATAAAGCAAATGATTGTATGTAAGGTCTCCAAGCCGAATACAATCTTTTCGACCAGAAACAGCAAGGAGTACGATTCTGGAATTTCTGAAGTCTGCTGTCCTGTTAGCTCCCCTGCCATGGCATTGTCTCACAGACTTGGGTGGCTTCTCCTGAAATTGTATTTTCTCCACTCTTGAGTCTGATCGTGGTCCAGTAGGGTCAGTTCCTGGCAAGGGCTCCTCCTGGCCAGCAAAGAGCTGCATCTCAGATGGCAGAGGCACAGAGAGAGTTGGGGGGAGGGGGAGAGCGAGAGAGACAGCGAGCACCCTGGCAGTGCTTCCTCTTATAAAAGGACACCAGCTCTGCTGCATTAAGGACCCACCTTTATGATTTTTTTTTAAATTGCTATCACGTCTCTTAGGCCTCATATTGATACACAAACACCCCGAGGATTACGGCTTCATTCTGAGAAAACGGGGAGGGACACCATTCAGTTTTTAGCAACTGCTTCTCGGATTTCTTTGCTAAATTTTTAAAAGGCTGATGGAGAAAAACCTGTTAGGAAAGAAAACTACCTTCAAGTGTACCTTTGTGCCATTGTCTGAGAGTGTAAAGAGATTTGAAAACTATCTGAGTCCTCTTGCTACACACGTGTTTGTCAAATCAGTTTCTTTGCTTTTCTGCTAGCCAGCGGGGAAAGCTCATTAAGAGGCAGCAGAACAGCATGTTCCATTATCCACACACTAAACCGCAGGATTAACGAATATTCTAGCAGAAGCAATCACATTTATTAATGTCCCTACAGAAATGTGGTCTAAAACAATAAACTGAACCATAATAATTTGATATCCATTAATCAAATAAATGGATGCCTCCATCTACTCTTCCTAATATATTAAAACTTCCCTGATAATCAAAGGATGGAGGAAATAAATATTTTATCTTTCAAAAGGGTAACTTTGGAAAGAGAATAAATTAAAAATATGTAAGCAATTAATTTGCCTTTCCTCCCAGCTTATGACTCAGGCAAACCACTGCACAGATTTAATGAGCCCAGTTTTCTCCATTGTTAATGACATTACAGAGCTGAAGAAGAACCCACATGATTGACAGGAAAGGCTGGCTGGGATTCCAGAAGGCAAATGGGGAAGAAAGAGAGATTTTTTTTCTCACCCATTCACCAAATATAATCCAGTACTCCTTTTCAGAATCTAGTTGTGATGATTTGTGTTGATTATCAGCTGGACGGAATCACCTGGGAGATGGGCCTCTGCTCATGCTTTGGCGGGGGAGGAGGACTATCTTGATTGTATTATCCTGAAAGGTGCACCATGGGTGGCGCTGTTCCCTGGGATCCTGGACTAGATATATGGAGGAGAAGTGAGTAGCAACATGCTTTCCTTGCTCTCTGCTTCTCGACTGCATGCAACGTGACCCTCTCCCTAAGTTTCTGTCTCCATGACTTCCCTGCCGTGATGGGTTGTGATCTGGAACGATTAGTCAAAAAACTCTCACTGAAACTAAGCTTGTTTTTGTTGGGGGTAGTACAGCAACTGAAAAAGGAACTAGGAGGCCAGGACCAGAGTTTTTCAAAGTGATCCCATTTAAGCTCCTCACTAACCCTTCCCAAAGAAGAAATCAGAGAGAAGAGGCAGGTCAGAGGGAAAGGGAGGCTGGAGGGCCAAAGAAAAAGAAAGAAGAAAACACTTGACCCCGTAACAAAGCAGTGTTTAAGTGCAAAGCGTCCAGTCTTTGTAACACTGCATGGAGCAATGATCCATGCCTACAACTCTTTGCTAAATCCCTGAAGGCAGAGGCCGTGCCTGTCTTATCTGGCTCATAGATTCCTGTACCTCTCCATTCTCCAGAGTGCTCCCTGGTGGCCACTGTAGGAAGCGGGGCTTTTCCTGTGATAATTTGCTTCCCCCTGCTAAGAGTTTGTTCAGTGGGTGAATCCATGACCTTCACAGCAGGAAGCAGGGCAGCAGGCACGCAGGCATGGTACCAGGGCAGTAGCTGAAAGCTTACACCCTGATCTGTAAGCACAAAGCTTTGAAACCTAAAAGCCCACCCCCAGGGACATACATCCTACAACAAGATCACACTTCCTAACCTTTCCCAAACAGTTCCACCAAGTGGGGAATCAGTCATTCAAATAGTGAGCCTATGGGGGCCATTCTCATTTAAACCATCACAGTTAGTTACTTGTTTTCACTGCTGTGATAAAAAACAAAACAAACAAGCAAACAGTAACAAGAGCAACTTAAGGTAGAAAGGGATTTATTTGGCTTCACAGTTCTGAGGTTTAGTTCATCATGGCCAAGAAGTCTCAGCAGTAGGAGCCTGAGACAGCTGGTCACACTATAGCCAGGAAACAGAAGGCCATGAGTGCTTGTGATCAAATGGTTTTCCTCTTTTTGTATAGTCTGGGACCCCAGCCCATGGACTGTGCCCTCCACAGTAGGCAAGTACTCCCACCTCAACCAACCTGTTCTACACAATGTTCCACAGACGTGCCAGAGCCTCTTCCTTTCACAGAGGGCTCCAGAGCTCATCGAGCTGACAATTTGACAATCAAGGCTTACCATCTTAAGGGGCCCATATGCTATAACATCTACCTTCTGAACTTCAGAATATTGTGCAACAATAAAAAATTCCTAAAATGTAAGTTAATGTTGGTCAGCTTAGTAATGTCTATCAAAATTAGCTGTTCATTTATACCTTGTGTAGCTTTCCTTTGAGAGATTTATCCTGAAGACATGTTTGTATACTTTAAAGTGGCTAAGTACAAGGTGTATAGTCTAGCACTGGTTGAAACAGTGTACACTAAAGACAACTCAAGACTTAATTGATAAGGATCTGATTAAATTATGGACTAGCAACACAGAACACCATGCTTCCATATCGTCTTAATTAGGGTTACTTACTATTGTTATGGTGAAACACCATAACCTAAATCAAATTGGGGAAGAAAGAGTTTATTTGGCTTAGATTTCCACTTCATAGTCTATTACTGAAGGAAGTCAGGACAGGAACTCAAGTAGGAACCTGGAGGAGGCAGTAGCTGAAGCAAAGGCCATGGAAGGGTGCTACTTACTGGCTTGTTCCCCATGTAGGGCTTTCACTGGGAACTAAGCTGGAGACTTAAAAACGCGCGCGTGCACACACACAGAGACACAGGGACACGGGTCATCCTTGATACAAGAATGCCCCCTTTATTGTGTTCAGGGGCAGCATATACAGGGCTCTGGCTACACCCCAGCTCTCAGGATCTTTCAGCTGCAGAGTCACCAGAACCCACTCCGCTGCCATCAGAGTCTGTGCACTGAGCAGCTGCAGACTGCTCAGAGCAGAGGAAAACAAGTTGTTCACAGGAAAGTCAGGGTCTGGGTGTCCACAGCCCCCAAAACCACATGACTTGCTTAGCCTTTTTTTTTTATATAGATCCCAGGACCACCGGTCTAGGGATGAGTACCACACACAATGGGCTAGGCACTCCTCCACCAATCACTAATTAAGAATAAATGTCCTACAGTTGGATCTTATGGAGGTATTGTCTTAATTGAGGCCCCCTCCTCTCCAGTGGATTTAGCTTGTGTCAAGTGGATATAAAACTAGCCAGCATACATATGAATGAAAGTGCTCTAAGAGATGTCCTGATTGAAATGGGACACTTCATGATGATCAGGCAGTAAAGGCACATGGTATATTTTTTAAATTGGAGGAAGAAGCTTGGCAGTGGTGGTACATGCCTTAATACCAGCACTTGGGAGGCAGAATCAGGCAGATTTCTGTGAGTTCAAGACCAGTCTGGTCAACAGAGTGTTGTATGAAGGCTGCTTGTTCATTTCTCAGCTGCCCAGACTCCTGAAATAACCACACAGAAACTGTATTAATTAAATCACTGTCTGACCTATTAGCTCTAGTTCTTTATTGGCTAGCTCTTACATACTGATTTAACCCATCTCTATTAATCTGTATATTGCCACATGGCTGTGGCTTACTGGGTAAAGTTCCGTCTGTCTGGGGGGGGGCCTACATGGCTTCTTCTAAACTCTGCCTTCCTTCTCCCAGCATTCTGTTTAGTTTTCCCCACCTAGCTCTGTTCTGCCCTGCTCTGCTATAGGCTTAAGACAGTTTCTTTATTAACTAATGGTATTCACAGCATACAGAGGGGAATCCCACATCACCTCCCCTTTTCTGTTTAAATAAAAATGAAGATTTTAATTTTAACATAATTAAATTACATATAACAAAACAGGTATCAAGCAAGAATTAAAGTTGCAATACTTATATATACTTTATTTTTATCATAACTAAGTAAAACTATATCTATTCTTCAACTCCATCAAAGACTCCAGAAGGATATAATATTGCTTAAGTAAATAGGAAGTACATTGTAAACAACTTCCAAAACTCTAGAATTGACAGAGACATCTCACTGCCTGGACCCAAAGTTCTTCTGTATCGTTGGGGCATCCATCTTCAGCCTACAGACCCATAGTATCCAGCAGACTTTTCCATGAAGCAGGAAATTTCAAAGACAGTTCCACCTATATTGGCAGTGTGTCAGTCATTTTCTTCTGTGTCCTGCAGAATGTCTGGTAGACTCTTACATGAAGCAGGAACCCTGAAGGATGGTCTCATCTTTAGGTAAGTTCAGCAGTCATTTCTCTGTGGGTTCTGCATGTTCAGTTCACAAATGTACCATCAGGCAGTACAGGAAAGAGCAGTTTCTTGCCCAAATGACTAACAAATGTAATCAACAGAGCAAGTTCCAGGACAGCCAGGACTGTTACACAGAGAAACACTATCTTGAAAAAATGAAACAAAACAAAATTTTAAAAAGGGGGAAGAAGAATCTGGATTTTATTCACATTTGGTAAAAATGCATGTGAACACTGAGTTGTCATGGAAAATAACAAAACTTACCTGTGAAATTGGTGTGGAATCTGTGGGGATGAGGGACAGGAACAAGAAGGAAAACTTGGCTAAATATTTGGTATGAGAAAAGCAGAATGGTTGCTTACAAACAGGATATGTTTCTGCTGGGTAGAACATGCATTACACACCAAAATGGAAAGAATGGAGTTCTTTTGTGATCTTAACTTTTTAAATAAAGGCTAGACAGGCATCTTGTCAAGGACATTATACATAGACACATCTTTTTAAATTCTTTTTTATAAGGGATGGGTAATATGTTCATGTGATTAAAATCCAAGAAGTATTAAAATATGAACAAAGAATTTTTCTTCCCCACTCTTGTCCCTAGTCTACTGCCTAAGTTAGAGTTTCTATTGCTGTGAAGAGACTCCATGACTGTGGCAACTCTTATAAAGGAAAATATTTAATTGGGGCTGGCATATAGTTCAGAGGTTTATTCCATTATCATCATGGCAGGAAGCATAGTGGCATTCTGGCAGACATGGTGCTGGAGAGTCAGCTGAGAGTTCTGCTTCTGGATCCACAGGCAAAGGAAAAGACTGGAAGTCACTAAGGCTGGCTGGAGTTTCTGAGACCAAAAAGCCAGCCCATAGTGACACAGCTCTTCCAACAAAGCCACACCTCCTTATGGACCTATGGGGGCCATTTTATTCAAATCACCACACCTACACAGAAGAAGGGCTGGAGAACGGGGTCTTGGATTTGCAGAGTGAGGGGAATGAGAAAGACCATCCCTTTAGCTGTGTGATTTAACTTTTTTTTTCAGGAAGCCTTTAGGGGCTGACAATATAGCTCAGTAGTGGGGCATGTGCCTTGCTGATATCTAATAATCAGTTAACCGCAAACAGTGTTGCTGGGATGGGTAATCAATGAGCAGATCAAAGGTCGGGTTCTGAGAATATGAATGATGCTAGTCCAGACACATGCTGGCACTGAACCCTTGAAGTGTTGCTAGTCTGATTTGAGATATAGTGAACATAAATAGACTCCCTGGATCATGAGGATTCAGAAGAGAAAAAAAAATTTTCACTGATGGTCTTTAATATTGACTATATGTTGAAATGATAATATTTGTATGATAATATTTGCATATATTGGGTTAAATCCATAAGTTGCTTCTTTATTTTATAGATTGGATTTTACAAAGTAATATACACAAATGACTGGGATTATGGGACCATTCTATCTTGGCTCTGCTTCTAATTTTTTAATGTAATAGCTACTAGATCAATTGAAGTTATATGTTTACCTAGGATTTTATAGAGTTGAATAGAGTTGATTTTAAAATGCAGGGGAAAGATCCCAAGTAATCAGCTCTGCATGACTGAAGGTCAGGGGGTTTGAGGACCATTTTGGAAATGATTGTCCTCACTTTGTACCTTTGAGTTCCAGGTGGCGTTGGCCTTTTCTCAGCTTGCTGGGAAGAGCTGGGTTCCTAAATACAATGCAGTAAGTAGTCTGGGCCTGCCTGGTGGCTGATGGGGTGGCATTGGAAGGTTTGTTAATGGGATGGTTCAGGAACTGCTCAGATTCCCCTGTCCTTCATCTCGGTGTACCTCCCCCCCGCTTGTCTTAATTGGCTGATAATGCCGGAAGTGTACCCTTTTATACAGTGTTGTTCCATGATTAACATGAACCTTTCCCTTAAACATAAGGAAGATATTCAGAGCTAGAGAGATAATGACTCAGCAATTAAAAGTAGAAACTGTTTCTGCAGAGGACCCAAGTCGGTTCCTAGAACCCACATCCAGTGACTCACAACTGCCTATAACTTCAGCTTCAGAGAATCCAACACTCCCTTGTATCTTTGGCCCTTGGAGGGCCTGTTGCCACCCAGCTCCCAAATAAATCACGCGGAGGCTTCTTTTTAATGAATGCCAGGCCTTAGCTTGGCTTGTTTCTAGCCAGCTTTTCTTAACTGATATTATTCTGTCTATCTTTTGCCTCTAGACTTTTTTTTTAATTTTTAAAAGATTTTATTTATTATGTATACAGTGATCTGCCTGCATGTATGCTTGCATGCCAGAAGAGGGCACCACATCCCATTATAGATGGTGTGAGCCACCACGTAGTTGCTGGGAGTGGAACTTGGGATCTTTTCAAGGACAGTCAGTGCTCTTAACCTCTGAACCGTCTCTCCAGCCAATTTATGGGCGTTTACCTTTCTCTATTTCTGTATACTTTTCTTTTCCTTCTTAATCTGAGTTTAGCTGTGTGTCTGGGTGGCTAGCTTCTTTTCTTGCTCCTTGATCTTACTCCTTCTTCTTCTCTTCCCAGATTTCTCCTCCTATTTATTCTCTCTGCCTGCCAGTCCTTCTTATCCTTTCTCCTGCCTCGCTATTGGTCGTTCAGCTCTTTATTAGACCAATCAGGTGTTGTAGACAGGTAAAGTAACACAGTATCGCAGAGTTAAACAAATGCAACATAAAAGAATGCAACACACCTGTACATTATTAAAACAAATATTTCACAGCATAAATAAATGTAACACATCTTAAAATGATATTCCATAGCATTCTCTTCTGGCCTAAGTGGGTATTGCACTCCTTTACACAAACCCATATACAAACACACATCTATACATACAATTAAAAGTAACAATAAAGTATTTTTTAAATGCTGGCCCTCTAATGAAAAACACAAAGTGAAACACCAGGAGATATTGTTGTTCATGTTGTATTTTGAGCAAGATAAAAACAAAATGAAATAAAAAAATCAAGTATAAACACAGCAAACAAATAATAGAAAAATAGGATGGGAGGGGGTAGAGGAAGATGAATCGACAGAATCAGCAGGAACTTCAGTTGTGAGCACCTTTGGATTCAATCAATATTTATCCTACAGATACAGGCAAAGAAAACCGACATGCATAAAGAGGTGTTCATTGCAGCTGTGCTTCTAGACAGAACTTTGGTGGAGACCGCGTAAGTTAAGCAAGAGCATAGTTATACTAGAACTGTGGGACAGCATCACTTCTTTGAAAGTGCTGTGCCTTTAATGGCTAGCAGCTTGCTGACAAGAGCAACTCCGTGGTCAGTTGCAGGAAGATCACCAAGAGTTAAGTTGGAAAAGGCGAAGGTGATGGGAGAAAGCACAGAGGCAGTCTGTGGAGAAGAAACCGTCATGGACCTCCTGAGCTAAAAGTCAATAAACACATGTCTTTGTTAATAATGTATAAGAAATTAGTGGGTGTTGTCCTTCAAGGTGGGGAGCTGTTGTAGGTAGAGCAGGAGAGAGGAAGAGTTGACCTCTCGATGTCTACTGATTTGTACTTTCTATGTATCTATAATATAAATATGTTGCCGATAAGACAACCCAATTAAAAATGTAGATGCTTCTATGTAAGCATGGAATTCCCTTTCCGTACTCCCTCAAGCTTCCTTTGCCTTCAGTCCACAACACAGCTTTTCCTCTGGACTGCACTTCCTGTTACTTAAGAGCAAACCCGAGTTCTTTCCTCCCATTCTGTGCTGATGGAAAGGTTTGTGCTTCTACTTGATTGTATAAGGCAGGATCCAGACTAGATTTCAAGGGTTTCCCCTTGTCCTCCATCCCTTTATTCCGACTTAAACATTTACCACAAGGCGAGTCTTGCTGGAGCCTGCCTATAATTCCAGCCCCTAGGATGTGGAGGCTGGAAGACCAGGAGTTCAAGGCCAGTCTCCTGTACAGGAGTTTGAAGCCAGTGTGGACAGGAGAACCTGACTCATAAACAAAACGAAGGAACAAAAAACCCTTCATTCCATGCCTATGGACTCCTTCTCCTCCTCTTTCCTGAATCGATTATATGAAGACCACTTATCTCATATTCTTTTTCTTATCTTCTGATACACTTTGAAATCTATATTTTGATTATATAAACTTGAAGGGGGAGAGAGAGTAAACCCAACCCCAAATACCATGTGTGATATGCCCTCTAGTGGTTAAATACTCAAACTGTTCATTCACTAGCCCCTAGTTTTTCCAAAAACGACGATTATTTGAACATCTAAGTAAAAACTCTCACTCTAGGTCTCACGGGATGACTCTCGGTCTCACGGGATGACTCTCGGTCTCATGGGATGGCTCAGCAGGTAAAGACACCTGCTGCACAAGCCTAGACTCTCCCCCTCTGCCAGAACCTACATAAAAGTGGAAGGGGAGAAACAACTCCACAAAACTGTCCACTCTGTGGCATATACTCCCCACATATAACATATCCTGCATCTATAATATATATATATTATACATATATATACATGTATACATGTGTGTATACATGCATACACACATTACATGTAGACTTTTGGAGTCAGGGTTTCTCTGTGTAGCCCTGGCTGTCCTAGAACTCTTTAGACCAGGCTGGCCTCAAACTCAAGTATCCACCTGTCTCTGCCTCCAGAGTGCAGAGATTAAAGGCATGAACCACCACACCCAGATTAAATTAATTAATTTTTAAACTCTATGCATTTTTTTTAAAAAAATGTGGGGACACACACACAAAAATGTGTCTCAAGATATGGCATACCTTTGGAAGAAAATGGTTAAAATATCTTTAGTTACTACCCACCTTTCCCAAACCAAATACTCAGGTCAAATGTGGTTTTCAGTTTAGACCCAGGTGTGTGGATCCCGTCACTCACTTGGCAGTGGAAACCTAAACTAACTACAGTCTCACTTGCCCATGAGACCAACAAGAGAATCAGCATAAAATGCACAACCACCGGTGTGGGTGGTGAAGAATCCTCATTTTAGTGAATGATCTAAGAATAGGTAGGAGTCAGAGAAAGATTTCAAAAGCAGTATCCCTGTGCGGAGTGTCCTTGTGCCTGGCTACAATAAATCAGGGTCTCTTTGGACAAACGTAGGGAAAATCAGGGTATCAGGGTGTGTGCTTTTCTCTCTCTTCTCTTCTCTTCTCTTCTCTTCTCTTCTCTTCTCTTCTCTTCTCTTCTCTTCCTCCCTCCCCCCCTTCCTTCCTTCTTTCTTTCTTTCTTTTTTTTTGTTTTTTGAGGTGATTTCTCTGTGTAGTGCGGCTGTCCTGGAACTAGAGAGCACTTTGGTCCTGTAGGGCCAGAAAGTCAGCTCAGTTAGGAACAAGTAGCGGTCATCTTTATGAAAGTGATGGATGGTTGTCCTGGGGCCAACGGTGGGAGGTTCCTCGGCAGAGTACTGTACACTATTGCTAATGGAAGAACTTCTCATTTCTGGGCCTGTGAGCGTTGGATTCTGGCAGAAGTTCACAGGCGCTCAACAAGCCATGTTTTCTTGGATCTACCTGGGAAAGTGGCTTACAAAGGGTAACTCATAAATGTGACTTTTGTCCCTGGTCTAGTCGTCCTTGCTCTTTCTCGGCCTTTTTCTTCCTGTTGTTGACAATGCTTTAATATTTTATGGGACGTGTACACTGGAAGGGACAGAGAAAATGAAGGAACAATGGTCATGCTTTTTTCTTCCTGCACCTTAAGTAAAGGGCTTTCAGATAATTACACTTCTCAGGTTCGGGTATATCATAGTTGGTCTGGCTGGATTTCTTTGTGATTGATTGATGCATTCATTCAATTATTTATCTCTTTTCCCCCTATTCACTTCCTTTCAAGACATACCTAATGGCATTAATTGTAATGTGTTTAATATGTATCTTTTGTATCTTGTTTATACAGTTTATTGTTTTGTGTGCATCTTATATATTTTTTGTTTATTTAGCCGATTTGTGTTTTGAGACCTCGGACCAGCCTAGATTGCTCTCCAGAGTCAAAAATGACCTTGACCTCCTGATATGTCTCTGCCTCCAGAGCACTGGGAACATTACCACCATGCCTTGTGCTGAGGATTGAACCCCGGGCCTCCTGTATGCCTGGTAAGCACCCTGCCCACTAAGCTATATCCCAAACCCTGTTTTTTGTTTGGTTTTGTTTTTTGAGATAGGCTCTTGTCCAGGAAAAAAAAACACAAGGTCAAAAATCAGATACAAAAGAAATTGGGGAAGGGGAATAAATTCTACTCCTACCGTAGGGGATTGAACTCAGAACCCTTTTCTCTATCTTAAGTTGGGAGTTCTATATATGAACTTCCCATGAACCTTTGCTATGAGCAGTGTTGATAGGTTCATCCTTTCTGAGAACTATCTGGTATTCCAATCAAATAAATATGTAGCCCTGGCTATCCTGGAATTAATTGCTATGTAGACCAGGCTGGCTTCAAATTTTCAGTGATTCTTCTGCCTCTGCTTTCGGAGTGCTGGAATTACAGGTGTATGCCACCACACGCAGCTCTAATACATGATACTCCTTGGTGTGTGTTCATTTCTGATAATCCTCCCAGCAAATCACAGTTATCCAGTTGTCTCTTAAATCCCTAATACCAAAATAATCTTTCTCCTTATGAACTTAAAAAGGAATATCATTGGGATGCATATTGCAGAAAAGGGAATCTCTGAGACATAGAATTGAATATATCTAATTTTAAGAGAAGTACAGGATTGTTCTTGGAATGGCTGAACCAATGTCCTCTCTATAGTAAAGGCCACTGAAAGGCCTATAAGATTTAATTACATCCCATCAAAAGGTTTAATTACAGGCCCCGGGTTCGGTCTCTAGGGGAGAAAAGAGTGGCGCTCATTTTCCATCCTCCCTTTCCCTGACGCTGGATTTAATCTTGTACATGTTTTGAGCAGTAACAGTATTTTCTAACTCTATTGTGTGAGGTCTGCACCAGCTCTCAGGAGCCATTACAGTTGCGCTTGGAGCCCTTCCGACATCAGGCAGAAACCCAAGTTAACCTCGCAGGGCTGAGAGACACGTGGGAGAAGCTCCAGGCAGGCTAACCTACTCACCTGAGATACCAGAGCAGAAAATGGCTGCCAAGCAGAGCCCACTCCGAACTCCCTACCTACAGAACTGTGAGCTAGTAAAATGGCTATTGTAAATCAGTAAGTATTGGGGTGCTTTTCTCTGTAGTTATAGATGTGTGATAAACTCCCACCAGAAGAACTAATAGTTCCCACTCCCCATGGTCACCTGGCATTGGCAGCTTTTCTAACTTTACAACTCTTATAGGGACAATCACTTTAATAGCAATTCCTTCAAAACCGCTAATGAAGTTGTAGCTTTCTCTATATTTTTAGTAGACCTTGGGCCTTTTCCTTTTAAACTGTATATCTATCATTTGCTCAGCTTTCTTATGGAGTCCTATCATTCCTTCACGGTCTGCTGGAGTGCCTGTATATTCTGGGTGTTTCCAGGTTCTTGGCGTAGTCTTCAAACTGAAGGAGCACACACAGAGGCTAACAAAGGGTGTTTTCCAAAGGCAGGGCTAACGTACAGAGAATATACATGCACTAGAGAGCAGCCTGGCTCTGAGAGACTGGTGCAGCTCAAGGTGGGGACCTAATCATTGCCCAGTGGCTTCCTTTCCTGGGTCCAGGAGGATTTGCTTACTAGGGGCAAAGTTGGGTGGTTTTCTGTTTTGATTGACAGGCTTAGGTTATGCAACCACTTCCCATATCCTTTCCCACAATGCATCTGATTTTGATCACATGCATGCCCAATTAGGCACAAGCAAAGGATTTTTCCTAAGAGTTTACTCACGGGATGTAGTTTGTGTTCCAGCACATGCACCCAAAATGAGTTCAGTCTGGACCTGCCCACTGCCCTGGTTCCAAGATGTATTCCAAGATGTATTTGAGCACAAAAGAGGGGTTAATATGGGTTTCTAGAGAACTACAGGTCAGAGTGACTGGTAGCTTTGTATGAAGAAGGGTTCATGAGCAGTCCAGTGTAGGTGGGGGTCCTGATGCTGAGTGCTTTGGGGTTTTGTGCAGTCCAGTGTAGGTGGGGGTCCTGATGCTGAGTGCTTTGGGGTTTTGTACAGTCCAGTGTAGGTGGGGGTCCTGATGCTGAGAGCTTTGGTAGGAAAGAGTGTGTATGTAGCCCAACCTAAACAGGTTGCCCTGTTTGTTTCCCTCAATACCTTTTCATTTTTTATCTCTTGTATTCTGCAATATCTCCTTGTGTCTGTTGGATTAGTTAGGGCTTCTAATGCTGCAATAAAACACCATGACCAAAAAGCAAGTTGGGGAGAAAAGGGTTTATTTGGTTTACACTTCATCACTGAAGGAAATCAGGACAGAAACTCAAGCAGGGCAGGATCTTGGAGGCAGGAGCTGATGCAGAGGCCATGGAGGGGTCCTGCTTATGGGCTTGCTTCCCATGGTTTGCTCAGCTTGCTTTCTTATAAAACCCAGGCCCGACCCACCACTGACTGGGCCCTCCCCCACTGATCACCAAATGACAAAATGCCTTATAGCTGGATTTCCATAAGTCGTTTCCTCAGCTGAGGCTCCTCCCTCTGATGACTCTAGAGCTTGTGTCAAGTTGACACACACACTCACAAAAAAAAAAAAAAACCCACCCAGTACATTTCCCCATTAAGATAGGGTGTACTTTGTGGGTCAGGCTGGACTCATAAGGGCCAATGCCCTTTCTGAGGCTGGCATTGCAGGAAGCACCACTGGGCCCTGTACTGTAATTGAGATTCCCTCCTCTCAGACGACTTTAGCTTGTGTCAAGCTGATGTAAAACTATCCAGCACAGTGTTTTTTTTTTTTATCTCAGTTTTACACATAAGCAATGAGAGATCCAGAAAACTGGCATTCGCTGTGCTAGGTACACGTGCCCATACCGTGGAACAGGGTCTAGACTCTTAGCCTCTCATCCCACATAGTCTGCCTGGCTTTTCAACTCATGGTCCATTTACCCTCCATGTTTACTCCAAAGGCTGGTCATTGGGGCAGGGTGAGAGTTCATCGCTTCCTTCTCAGTGAGCACCAGCCTGAATCCAGAGTTTGTGGTCGGCTCTTCGTATTTAGATCCCATAGTATTTTATTTAAACAGTAAGTCTACTGTCAGCAATGGCTAAACGTGCTAAAAACCAATGTTCTGTGCTGGATTTGGGTCACATGGGTAATAATTTACAAGATAGATCTGCGGGCAGTAGGAATGGTGCAGAATCTGTAACTATAATATACTCAGTTCAGCTAAATGACTAAAACCCAGTGGGCCTGAGTTATCACAATACAAAAAGGAAAGTGGTGGTCCATGCATTTAGTCCCAGCACTCAGGAGGTAGAAACAGGCAAACCTTGATTTCAAGGCTAGCCTGGTCTATAGAGGGAGTTTCAGGACAACCAGGGTTACACAGAAAAACCAAAACAACAACATACCAATAGAAAAAAGAGTGTAAGTTATTTCCTTTCCTTTTCCTTCTTTCAGTGGAGCCTAGATTTCATTTAGGTAATGGATCTTAGGCCATGTATTCCGTATAATCCAACCCTAGCCATCTCATTTCACCTTCTTCCCTGGCCATCGGTAGGTTTAAGCATGGGTATTTACACATCTCTGATCACATGGAGAGAAAATTTGCTGGAATGATTTCTAAGAAGTGCTCTCCCTCCATTTTTTCCTTTTTTCTCTCTCTTTCTCCCTCCCTCCCTCCCTCCCTCCCTTCCTTCCTTTTTTCTGAGACAGGGTTTCTCTGGGTAGCCTGTTCTGGAACTCGCTCTCTAGACCAGGCTGGCTTCGAACTCATGGAGATCCACCTACCTCTGCCTTCAGAGTGCTGGGATTAAAGGCGTGCACCACCATCACCTGGCTCAATTGCCAGTCTTAAAAGAGATAGGCAAGCTTTACGGGGGTTGGTGGGAGGAGGGGTTAACATTTGTGTATTTCATGCCACTGTCCCCTCTCCCGCCTCCAGCTGTTCCCTGTTACTGCCTAGGTGTTAGAGACGGGCGAAGACAGGCAGATCTCTGTGAGTTTGAGGCCAGCCTTGTCTACAGAGCTAGTTCCAGGAAGCTAGGGATGCTACACAGAAAAACCCTGTCTCGAAAAACAAAAACAAACAAAGACAGAAAAATGATAGTAAGGGGCATGTAAATTCATTTGAAACTAAGTATTGACTACAGGTACAGCCCCAAATAGTGAGGGGCCCAGTCGCTGTGGCCCAAGGGTGAGGAGGTGAGGCAAGAGTGGGCTAAGGATATTGGAAGAGTCTGCTGCAGGTTCCCATAGGAGTTAATCACACAGGAAGGGTCAGACAGGAAATAGTGCCCAGTGGGAGAGCTGGAACTCCAGATGTGGCCGGAGCACTAGGAAGCAGCGGAACAGAGAGACGAAAGGAAGGTGTGTTTCCATGTTGCCTAAGAAAAGGGGAAGGAGGGAGTCTTTTCCAGGTGCAGCCATTGGGAAAGCCTGAAAAGATTTCTTTGTGGACAGTGAACATAAGCAGATGCAAAACAAAGAAAGGAATGAAGGAAAGAAGAAAGGAAGTAAGAAAGAAAGGAGAGTTGCAATAATGGGCCTTTGGAATTTTTGTTTATTGAAAAATGCTAGTAATATTATGAAGAATTAAGCGGGATGGAGAGGCTGCTAGGTGGTTAGAGCACTTGCCGCCCTTGCAGAGGACCTGGGTTCTGTTCCCAGCTTACAATGGTTTGTAACTCCAGTTCAAGAGAATTTGACGTGTTCTTCTGGCCTCTTAAGGCACCAGGCATACAAGTAGTGCACATACGTATGTGCAGACAAAATACACGCGGAAATATTTTAAAAACTCGAAAAATCAGTATCCTAAAACTGTCATGTAGAAATACGAATTTTAAAATGAAGATCCCATGATTCAGTTGGCAAACCATTCCCCGACAGTCTTCCAAATGGGCCTGTGTGGGGTTCTCTTACTTCCAGCATCACTGCAGCTGGTGATGCGGACGCAGATGCGGTCTAGTCATTGGCCTTGCGCAGGCAGTACAGGAGCTAGGCCTGGATGATGCAGGGACATGAGCGTGGCTCCTGTGCCTGAAACATTCTACATTAAAGAAAGAAAAACTCCATTTGTCTCTATAGGACAAATGACTCAATTTCTTTAATAAAATTCTCTTAAGGAAAAAAAAAGAATTATGAACAGTGATCCAGGCACAATAGTATGTGCCTGTAATCCCAGAATTCTAGAGTCTGAGATGGATAGGGTTGTGAGTTCAAGGCCAATGTGGGTTGTGTTGTCATATATTAGCATGACATTATCTCAAAAGCAAAAGAGAATGAAACGCTAGAATTATGAAAAGTGTGTGGTGGTAACACACACACACACACACACACACACACACACACACACACACTCCAGTTCAGGAATACCCCTGAGAATTGATAACTGCGTATCAACACATAACCAACAGTAATTATTTCCCGTTATCTAATTATTTAAATGTGACTTTTGTCTTCATTTGACAATGACATATCCCCAAATAAACAGCGAAGAAGGCCTACAGTAGCAACTGTGTGTCCCGCCACCCAAGTCCCAGATTCTTGTTTTCTTCCCTAGAGACAAGGAGAGTTTCCAGCATTAAAAGGAATAAACTGCACGAATGCGTTCACAAATATACCTGTCACACTACGTCAGGCAGTTTGTTGTCTAACAAATCACCCAGCATTTTATTAGTGCCAAACCATAAGCATTCCTCCTACTTCAGAGCTGAATTGGCTCTGGTGAGGGCTTCCTAAGGCAGACTGGCATCAGGCTGCCAGTTGGTGCCAGTTCTCTGTAGGTCTCTGCGGAGACCCCCGCCGACAGGGCAGAGCTCCTCACAGGCGATTGGACAGGCAGCTTCGTTTGGTCTCTGACTTTTGGCCTGAGCTTTCCTTCAGGGTTTTGCTCCATGGGCCTCTCAATAGGAGAACAGGAACAGGAACTGGCTGCATTAGAGCAAGGGGAGGGGGTCGGGGGACCAGAAACTGCAGGACAAGAAGCCAGGGTAAGAAGCCAAGCTGATCTTGGAAGGACAGCCTGTCACTGTTTTTGTGCTTTGTTTGTTAGAGGCAAGTCATCAGCTTGAAGCACCAGTCAAGGGAAGGGAATCAAATAAGGGGATAATCTAGGTTGGAGGCCATCGGGGACCACCTGCCACGTTTGTACTGCGTTTTTATCTATTTTTGCACTTCCATACTTTTCCTCATGCGATTGCACCGTTTCCACGTCGTTCGGGAAGACCCCCTCGCTTTGACATGTCGTAGCATCCCAAGCCCATCTCACACAGCATTCTTTGGGTTTGTAGACATAATTGAAAGTCCCATTTTGGCAGACTCTCGGATGCTCTGGGTCGTTGGCCACAAGGTGGCTTCTCAGCATGTGCCTTATATTTTGATGGCTAAGGCCAAATTGCCAGGGGGGGGGGGGGTTGAACCAAGCAGCAAACCCAAAGTAAGGGCTGTCTGCTTTATCCACAGCATCTCTTTACAGATTCCAGTGACATGGGAAAAGTGAAAAACTAAAATTCAAAGCTCCTAGGATGGATGAATAGGAACAGTTGAGTTTTATTCGCTAAAGGAGGAACAGGACTCTGCTGTTCCTTTAGTTGGCTCTGGATTTACCCAGACATTTTTTTTCCTGTTATTCAAATAAAAGCTGCAAATGGTGGCTCCCACCAGCAATCTCGGCAGGTAGGAGGCTATGCTGGAGGGATTATCAGGAGTTTGAGGCTACACAGTGAGATGCTATCTCAAAATAATAGTGATGATGATGATAGAAAATAACGAACACACACAGATACTGGTAAGGAGCCTTCAGCGTGGGCCCTGGTGTGCCTGGTGACCTCTGGTTCTAGTGACCATCGCCTGAGATAACATTTCTTGTCGAGGTTGCTGCCTTTCTTAGCAGCATTCCATAATCATCTTATTAAATTCCAGCTTCATGGGATGTGGCACTAGATGCTATCAAATCACGTTGATACTGAATATTTACTTTGGAAATATTGCACTTCTGGCCATTTTGGCTTTCCTCCTGATCTTTGGGGCATGGGAAAGACAGAGGCTGCAGGGT